AGCTTGGACTAAATCAAACTCATTTGCGATGTGTCGCACAGATTTCAAAGATTGAAATTTTTTATGAAAATTAAAAATATATGTACGAGTATATTATTTTTTCAATTATTAACCACAATGGGTACTGGTGTAAAACTTTGACTACAAAAATATCGATGGATAAATTTAGGTTTAGGCCATCTTTAAACGATTCTCTTCTCCTGTATGTACCACCCTAATCCACATATACACATTGATATCGTAAATTAAGAACAAATAATACACATCCTTGTTTTTATTCATGAACTTTTAATGATTTTGTTAATATAGCAAATGCGAGTGTGTTTCTATGTATTTTAGCCCATCATGTGAATTATCAAAGTTGCTTAATTTGCAGCCACCAACAGACGCACTCGTTGGAGCGTATCGCACAGGTGCCAAAATATGCTCATTTATCGCAGCTAAATAAAAATATATAGATTTAAATGTATATGGATATACACACATACAAACCGACTTAGGTATTTGTGAATAGACGAGCAGAAGAATGAAATTTGTGTTAAATTTTAATAATAGACGTGAATTCAATTACATTAAAGGAGAATAATAAAAAAATAATAATGTTTTTATGAAAAAAATTGATCTTGATATACTTATATTTGTGTATTTCTATGTCGGTGTATTGCAAGATGAAAAAGTTAAGAGGTTTTGTTTTGTTTTCCTTATTTCTTTGGATGAAAGGTAGATTTTCTTTACACGTTTTAGTGGTTGATAAAAATATAAAGGGGCACACCTATTATTTATGTCAACATCAAACAGGCAGTTTTTGTAATTTAAAAAAAAACAAGTAAGGAAGTGCTAAGTTCGGATGTAACCGAACATTTTATACTCTCGCAAAGCAAATGGTATATTCGTTTGAGATTTCTTTGTGGATTGACCGATATTTTCGGTAAAAAGTCAACTATAGGCACTGGGGTCCACATATTCAGTACTTAGGGGCTTGAACAGTTTTGGTTCGATTTAGACAATTTTTGGTCACAAGGTGGCATACTTAATACGCTTAAAGTTCACGCAAAGTTTTACCCCGATATAATCATTGTTGCTTGATATGCATAGTGGAAAGTAAAAGAATCAGATGGAATTTGAAATGGTGTTATATGGAAAATAGGCGCGGTTGTAATCCGATTTCGCCCATTTACCAGAATATCGTGGCTTCCTTCCATATTATTAAAGAAATTGATAAAATTTATTTATTTTATTAAATTTAGACACTTAAACGTCAACAATAAAAAAGTAAACAGATGCAGCTGATAGAATAGCACACACACACCTCGCCGTATTGTATATGTCGTATTTCAAATCCCCAACTTAAGGAACAGGCATTGCAGTGATTCCGGAATGAAACTCGATTAAAAAAATCCGTAACTTGACAAATGGCAGCGTAGTAAAAAAAAATGAATTTTTCCTTAAATTTTGGTTCTTTCAGGCCTATTGAAATGGATAGTCATCGCATCATTTGTCTTCGAGTATTCGCTCAAGCAATTTCGAAAAATATAGTTATATTTATATGCTATAGGTAGATTATAACCTATATCTAAAAATTATTGCTTAATATAGAAAATTTTTTATGATTTTCATGAATATTTTGCTTCTGGAAGGACTTTATTTAAGCATTGATTTTTCTTGATAGTGCTTACATAAAGGAAATGGTCTGATGAACCTCTCGTCTTTTTCGTCACTTACAACACACAAACTTGCGTGAAAGAAATTTAGATGGCAGTCCAGCATATGTATTTTTAATGACATATTTCACTTCAAAGCTTTATTTGACATTATAAATTCATTTCTTAATTTTAGTAATTTCCGCTTTATGGTTTCCTAGAAAATTGTGGACAACGTTCACAAAACATTTCCAGCCCAGTTTTTCTTCAAAGCTCTTATCCTTAATCAGTTACGGTATTTGTGGACCTATAAATATTCCATCTTTAATTTCAATTTTAGAAAACAAGTTTGGACTTGCCAGCCCTAATATACCGTTTGGTAGAGCATTCAATTTCCTACAAAACTTATGAAACGAAATATTTTTTCAAGCAAATGGAAGCGAGATTTGAATTTTTCTACCAGATAATAAGAAGAAAAAACATTGAAACTGTAAGGCGAAGGACTTTCTCGTTACAATTAAGAGCTTATATTAGCAGAGCTTTTCTTGGAGGTGTCAACTTTTCTAAGTACCAAGCGAAAAAAATATTCGTTTTTGTGACCCGCTCTAATGTATATCTTTGTGTCACATTACATACATACATTTATTATTTATGAAAAACTTTCCGTTGGTTATCGAAATTTATAAATGGTATCATCTGGTAAACAACAACTTTTGGGCAATCGAAGATCTGGGTCTAAAAATTTGTGGATTTGTTTTTGTCACTGGGTGACCTTAAGTTAAGTGTGTGCGTGCTTATCGAATTGTCATCTCAAAGTTATTTCGCTCTGTTTTGCTTGTTTTTCCTACTGTTCTACTCTTCATTATTTCCCCTATTTTTGTTGGTTTTTTTACGGTTTTGTTGTATGACTGAATGAAATTTTCGTTTGCCTTTGACTACTGTTGTATGCCACGTGCCAGTCATCAAAAGCCGCACTTCCCGGCAGCGACCTGCGAACCTCCAGTGAACTTCGTATTTTTGTTTCGCTTTCATTTTAAAATGGCATGGGTTTGCCATCGAGTGGCGCACAAAACTATGCTATATATAGATAGTAAGTGTGTGTGGCTGCATTTGTGTGTGACCAAGGCCCATTCAGAAGTGTCGAAGCTGTCATCCAGGACCACGCAAAGGAGCGTGGTCGTGTGTAAAAATAGTAAAAGCTTTCGTAACAACAAAAACAATAGCAAAACAACAATTACCCCAACAACAAAACTGAAGAGGAAATAAATAAACATTCCGAAAGGAAACGAATGAATTGCTCAAAACAACAAAAGCTCAGTAGAAATATATATATTTGCAGACGACAAGGCAAAAGCAACAAAAATTTGAAGCATTCGTGAGGCATGCGCAAATCCGTTCCGTAGTAATTGTATGCAAAAAAGAGAGAAAAAAAATTGCAAAAACAAATAGCAACAAAAGTGAAGTTGGTCTCCATAGAAATCAGCTGGAGGTCACACATATTGGCGCACTTTGTATATAGACAGCATATGATTTCAAAGCGGTTGTCATATGACAGCGCTGATTTGCCCTAAATGCACCCACATGCTGATGGAAACTTTTTCACAATTGAACTGATTTGTTATTTTTGTATTTGTACTATGCATTGATTTTCACAAAAATATTCTGGAGATGAAATGGCGTTCAGTTCCGGAACAACCGGCAACGAAGCAACTTCACAAGTATGACATGAATGGGATCCTAAGTGTGGTCTAAAAAGTATGTTACAAAGGACCATATATAACATCTCAACATTTTGCTAAAAGTAGTGCCATAGTCTACCCAATTTCAAAATATTTCAAATAAATATTTTGAATTGAGAAACTGACCCACTTAAGAACCCAAATTAAAGCAAACGGGTGATATAATATAATTGATTTATCTCTTTATAATAACAAAGGCATTGTCGAGCCGACTTTAGTGCACTCGCATACATGGAACCTTAAACTGCTATATATACTTGTATATGTTCCATAGCGCTCAGTTGGAACATATGTAGGGCCTCAATGGGGCTAACACCTAAAACGGGCGAATGATGCTGGTGAAGCGAAAACATAGCATATCCCTCCCAAACGTCGACATCACCTTCGCCATTCACTACGAACGAGGCTCTGACGACCGTGCAAAGGCGATGTAACCTTATTATTAGCGAGCAGGAATCTCCAATGCCCCTGCTAGCCTAGACGCAATACCGGCAGCCCTTGAACTAGAGTCGGATGTAGAATGCCAAAAACCTACACATCCTAAACGTCTGATTACCGAAACTGATGATGCTAATGGTTCAAAAAATGTGTGGATTCTTTTAAAATCATACAGTCATTACAGCAGGCAATAGCCATTGAAGACAGACGATGCCTTTATAAAATTTGAATATCAGCCATTCGATATCTAGACGTTAGTCTAAAAATCGGAATGCGACCAGTTATAAAATTATAAAAAATAGCTTTACTTCCGTTTATTAAAACTATTTTTAAATAATCAGTTTTTCTTAAGTCCATACAAGTGATCAGATATCAATGTTAGAACAACAGTTATCATTGACGAATCTGGTTATCTAACAACAAAATGGAATTATTACAGCAAAAAACCTCAAATTATATTGTAGAAAAAATACCAAGACAAGAAATATTACAGAAAGTCAAAGCTCTGTTCTTTCTACAAGGAAAATAACAACCCTCGTCGTGTTTTCTCGACCCGACCTTTGATGATACTCCAAAGAAGGATCTGTGGGATTTTAAATCTTTTGTGAAATATGAACTACTTCAGCTAAATAGTAGAGCTTTCATTGAAATTTTACAAATTTTTGCTCTTATCAACGGAGGCAACAAATACGGAACTGATTAATGGAATCTGAAGTGAGTCGACCAATACAGCTCAAAGTTATCAAGCTTGTATCTTAATGTAACTAGCTTTAAGTGTCTTTATCCCTCACTTCTCCCGCAACCAAAATTCATTGTACCGTTAAACAACCACGTGTGGTGCCTAAATCTGCCCTTGGATTATATTACCAACGAAAATAGATTCAACCTTTATTTACTCTTCCTATCGATTGCCTATTTACACACCCACACACATACATATGTGTATGTACTTGTAACATGTGATGATATGCCGTTATCCTTTCATATAATCTAATCGGCATGGAGAGCGGTGAGCTGCATTTGCGTAACAAGTAGCTAATATTTTTCTCCAAATACGTCGCATTTTGTGGCCTGTACCGCTCCATTATTGGATGCTTCAGCCACTGTGTGCCGGATCGAACCGCCCAACGCCTACACACGAACACACAGGCATACAAATTTACGCACACCCACAGCGCTTTGGTGATAACTGCGATAGAAATTGAGTATTGTTGTTTTTGTGCACACTTATACACTTTTGTTGTTGATTGTGTGTTGCAAAAAAATACAAAAAACATGCTTTTGAAAACTTTGTATGCCTTGTTTGGTCGGACGGATTCGGTTACGACAGCGAGGTGCCACCTCGTTTACCAAGTTCGTCCCGTCGAACGTCGTTCTCGCACACTGCCTAGAAGGCTTACGCTGTGGGGAGTCGCTGACTGCCGCTTCTTGTACGTGTGTAACTAAGTATTTATAACTGTGCCCCTCACACGTGCATTCTATGGTCCGTCGGTAGGGACTAGGGCGCATACCAACTGCCAAGAGCCAGCTATCGAGTTGCTATCGCCAATGAGTGCGAATTCATTTCGCTTCAATTCAGAAGTCTACGCGCCGTGGATGTTGTAAGGCGGCGCGCATGTTTGCATCTCGGTCTTCAGCTCGTTCGGAGTCATGCTCGTGTGTGATTGCTGATTGCTCAGCAGAAATTATTTCGTGGATACGCAAATGAAAATGAAAACCAGCGACAATGACAACAAAAAGGCCAGTAACAATTACAACAATGAAAATGAAACAACAAAAATAATAATAACAACAACAACAACAACGCCAGCATTAATAGCAACATTATTCACAGCGTTTGGCAGTCACCAATAAAATAAATAAATAAAGAAAGAACTCCATTGAGGCGACGCTGGCAGGCAGTGGCTAACGGCCGAACGAACGGACGGACAGACATTCAGACAAAGCAACCGACTGTTGTATTGTGCGGCAGACCTATATACAAACATAAGTGGACTTAAGTGGCCGCCTTCACCAGTTCGCAGCGCACGTATCTCAATTCCAGTGGCAATCATATTGTCCGGCACAACGTGACGTGACGTGTGGAGGCGCGCACAAAAAAAAATCAACAGACACAACAACAGCAAACATGCTAGCGGTGGCGGCGGCCACGACGGATGCGAATTATAATGATATTCAGCGTGTTGTTGCCAACAGCAATTGTGCTAGCGTATGTGTGGTTGATTTGCAAAAAATGCAAAGTAGCAGAAAATAAACAAAAACACAATCAAAAGGCATAAAAATAAAAATAAATAAAAATACCAAAAAAAAAAAATGGAAAAATAAAACTGAAAATTGCGAGAATTAAAAAATACAATAAAAAGGCTATAAACAGAAAAATTGTATAAAATATGCGGACACACAGCGTGGACGTTAAGAATGAAGCAAGAACTGAATAAAGGCAAAAATCTTGAAAAATAAAAAATATGCAATAAAAGCTTAATAAAACTGTATAAAGCGTATAAATGAATTCAAAGTAACACAATAAAAACGTGCAAAGCGTTGAAAAAGCGGTTAGGCGGACAAGAAAGCCGAGAAAAAATATGAAAAAAAAATTAATCATATTAAATTCGCACAAAGCAGAAAAAAGAAAAACAAAGTTGAAAAAAAATGATTTGTTTAATTTTTTTTACGAAAAAACACATTCATAGCAAATGATTGTTTGATGGATGGCCGGTCGCTCGCATTGAAAGCGCTTAGATTGCATAACAAATTGAAGTGTTTATTGCGAATAAATAAATGTGTAAATGTTTACAAATTGTATGCCGTGGCGTTTTCAATTTCGCTTACCGATTTTGTAATTAAAAAAATTGCAGCAAGCAAAAAATATGAAAAAAGTTATAAATAAAAAAGTAAAATGCAGAGTTCAATAAATATAAATGAATTATAAATTATATAAAAAAAAAATTGAAACATATTAATACAAAATAAAAAAAGTGAAAAACAAAAATAAATAAACATAAACTAAAAAAAAAAATTTGAAAAAATTAAAAAATAATCATACAAAATGTGAAATAAAGCACAACGACATTTGCACGTACGATTTAAACGACAACACAGAAACTTGCTAGGCTTAGCTTGTGCAAGCGCGTCATGGTGGGGCGTATAAGTGGCATTCTATAAATGTGAGTTGCCGTAGGCGCTTATGCCGCTGATTATTTGTGCATTAAGTAGTTGTTAATATATATTTCAGGTTTAAACTTTATTATGCTACCAAATGAAATTTTTTTTAATCAAAATTTTTTTTTATTAAACATTTTTTTCTATTAAATATTTTTTTGTTTACATTTTTGCATTTTCAACGGTTTACACTTCGTTATTGTTGTTGCTGTTGACTATATTGACTAAAAAGTAATTATTATTAACAAAAAAAACTTAAAACTACACAGTGTAAACAAATTTAACGTTATACACGTACATACATTTATTACTACACACACGCACACTTGTGCACACAAATGTTAAAACACATAACCATATTGTGCCACGCTTTTATTGTAATGTAACAACGTATTGTGTGTGCGTTGTTGGGTCGTTAGTTGGCAGCGAAAAGCCCGGACACTTCCAGACAAACATTAAAAGTTACGCTGATGAGCCATGGCTTTTGGCTAAAAATAGACCGGTTCTTTGGAGCTGAATACTCCATGCAGAAACAGAAGCAGCAAAAACTACAACAACAGTCAGCCCACAGGCAAGGCTAAACTGACGATGGCCAAGAAAATCCGTTGATAGAGTAGCAACTGTGTGAATTTGTTGAGCATAAAAGAGAGCAAGCATGCGGCCGAGAGCGTGAAGGCGTTTTCGCGTGAGAGAAGAATTGTTGTAAATATATATTTACTTTACTTGTATATTGTTGGCATGCATTTATTTTGTAGAAGTTGTTTGTTTTCATCTTTCACTTACTTCCTTTTTGCTTTTGTGGGGGGGAGGTTTTGTTTATTGGTCAGGAAGCATTCTTTATCGTATGTGTGGATACAGGGTAAGGCCAAAAAAATTTAAAGCGTAAAATAAAGAGAAAATTGGGTGGAAAATTGACCTCTAAGATAATATTGTGTGCATTTTATGATTTTAAAGGAGTTCGAAGAATTTATGGTAAGATATAAAAGCTGCTCGTTAAATTTTGTGTGTGGAGTAGGGATACAATTTTCGTCGAATTTAAGCTAAATTGTGTGTCATACGTTTTTCTACAATATATTTTGTGAGTGACTTCTTCGCTTTCAGCAACGCTTGACCGTTTTTGTCAAATCTCTCGCAAGTATATAACAAGCCCCGCCTCGAACGTTTCCATTACTCACTTTTCTGTACAAATTAAAAATTTGGTGAATCTTTTAGGGTTGTCTACTTTTTTATGAACACAAGTATTTCAGTGGCACATGCCTCTGTTAATGTCGATAACATCGAGAAAGTTAAAGAAGTACAACCGTACTTCAAAATGGTCGTGTTGACCTCTGAGAGTAGACAGAGGATCTTAACATGGATATGGATCCACTCAACACATTTGGTAAAAGTTTTGGGTATGAAGCTTGCAGCAACAGGGTGCTTCCAACTAACATATTGGCAAAATCTACTTCCATCAAACACTCTATTGTTCTTATGTGCAACTTTAATCGATCTACCCTATCAAGATCTTTCGTGATTGACTTTCTCACCATCTTTCAAGGTAGCTAATACGCCTTTTTAAGGAGGGTCAACTGTGCGGTGAATGCATGTATGTATATGTTATGGTAGTTCGATATCGGCCGTTTCGGCAAATAAGCAGCTTTTTGAGGAGAAAAGGACGTGCGCAAAATTTCATTATAAATGTCTTCAAAGCTAAGGGCCTAATTTGCTTATATACAGACAGCCTCAGTTGACCAAGCTGATAATTTTTTTTATGGGTTCTCTGGCGTTTCCTTTTGCGTGTTACAAACTTCGTGGGCAACTTAATATACCCTGTTCGGTGTATAATTAATAATCATAATCATAGTGAAGTAGTATAAGTTCGGCATCGGGGTCATAATACTCTAATTAAACACTGACTTCATACTAAACGATTAATCCAATATATTATTGTTATTATTGTGCCCTATAACTTCACTTAATGTCAATGCTATGTAAATAAATAGTCTAATGAGGCTATGTGCAATCTCCACCCACTTAAGTTAATTTATTGTTTACTTTACCTAATCGAAGTAATTACCCTGTATGCTTCGATGTAAGTAAGCTCCACTTCAAACGTACTTACGTGTTATTATTTTCAGCTACTGGACTATACTCTTCCTCGTTTTCTTCTTCTTTTGTTCAAGGCCATTTTGTTGCCACCAAAACAGCATGCCACACTGTAATGCCTCACCGCATTCCACCACTCACCGCCCTTCACTTCCCTTCACCTGCACACACGCGCATTTACTACAACCCAACAACGACAACAATAAAAGCGTTGTTGTGCTTACGCCACGTTTACGTTTCGTACGCATAACAATGCTCACTTACACACCATGCGGATTCGGTATACTCGTGGAGTCAGCGCGAGTCTCCACAAAATGCCAGCGGGGTCCGTTGATTCCACGACACGGTTTATGGCGTGTTCTTTGGCTTTTCAGTGCCAGAACCCGTTTCCGTAGCTTTCATACATACGTACCATACATACCATACATACCTACATACGTACATTGAGCAAAGTCATAGTCGTACCCAGTTTTTCCACATACCAAGCGCGCTTTAAGCGTAAATGTAGAAATGATTAAGTTAAGTGTTTGTTGTACGTAAAAAAAGTAGGCATTTTACTAGCCACTATAGTTGCCATTGTTGCTGTTGTTGTGGTTAAGGTTGTGATTGTTCGTATGGTGGCTTCGTTACAAGAAACCTCTTCAAGCTTGCATTGGTGTGAGTGTAAGTGGTATCCACGGAGCTTAAGACGATTGTTGGGGCAGCACCAGCGCATCGGCGTGTTGTATTTGTAGTCGTAAAGATAGTAAACAAAAAATTACGTTACTACTTAGATTATTTATCGTACACACTTACAGATATCATTATATTGTGTACGAGTATATACCCAGTCGTAAATTTGACTGTTTTAGAATGAGCGCTGGAGTGTGGTGGGTAGTTCGTGTGGAAGCTCTACACTGAGCGCTCAACTAAAGCTCCAAATTTTTTTTACAAATGATCTAGACTTTTTATCGATTAAGAAAACATACGATTTTCACAATTATTTTTTCAGTATTGGTCGTTTCTCAACAGACAATGTTAGAGCTAGTATACTTCGGACAAAGATAGCTTCTAATAGGCGTTCATCCATATGGAAGTTTCTTAAAATAGTAAGACTCTCATGGTCAAATTTGACCCAGGTTGACAAAAAAATAACTACATTTTCCCGTATTTTAATCATCAATACAATCATGCCAACACTTATTGCAATCTTCCATGCACTTGTTACAAGCCTCAGCTGAGATGGCCTTCAGTAAATTTTAGTTTTTTCGATTTCGGCCAAATTTTGGAGCACCATTCGCTAGATTGTTTGACAGTTTCGACGTCGTATCATAAACCCACATCTCGCCATCAGTACTGATACGTTGAACAAAGGATTCTCGACTATGTTGTCAAGCTTGCGAAAAACACCAACCAGAATGTGTTCGAGTCGATCCAGAAGATCGAGTCGATCCGGAGATTTTCAAGCACTGCTTTAATATTTTTAAAGTTTTCGATGTTATCGTCATTCCTTTGGAAACACAGACTTTCATGAAAACTAGTTGTTACACCAATCTAGGAGAAACATTTTTATCAATTCGGTTTGCGCGTGCAGTTTAAAACGACCGGGTCGAAGTTGACCAGTTCGTATATGTATGTCGCTTAGATTTAGAGATAAACCACATAGTAAAAGCTGCCTGAGAACTTTAGAGGTATAGAATTTTAAATTACAATAAAACAACGATGGATTATTCGATTGGCATGAATTTTATTTATCCAAAAGATAATCTTGTGGTATTACATTTTAAATATGATTTCTGGCATATGACCGCCACGGCTGGCTAGGAAATAGTCCAATCTGGACGTCCAATTTTCGATGAATTTTCCAACATTTGTGGCCATATAACACGAATATATGGCGAATGTTGTCTTCCAAATGGTTAAGCGTTTGTGGCTTATGCGTATAGACCAAGACTTTACATAACCCCACAGAAAGTAGTCTAGCGGTGTTAAATCACAAGATCTTGGAGGCCAATTCACAGGTCCAAAACGTGAAATTAGGCGGTCACCAAACGTGTCTTTCAATAATTCGATTGTGGTACGAGCTGTGTGACACGTTGCGCAGTCTTGTTGGAACCACAACTCCTGGACATCATGGTCGTTCAATTCAGGACTGAAAAAGTTAGTAATAATGGCTCTATACCGATCACCATTGACTGTAACGTTCTGTCCAAAATCGTTTTTGAAGAAGTACAGACCAATAATTCCACCAGCCCATAAAGCGCATCAAACAGTCAGTTTTTCTGGATGTAACGGTGTTTCGACATACACTTTAGGATTAGCTTCACTCCAAATTCGGCAGTTTTGATTGTTGACGTAGCCATTCAACCAGAAGTGCGCTTCATCGCATCATACGATAAAATGAACGTAGTGCGCAATACGTATTCCGCACAGAACCACTATTTTCGAAATAAAATTGCACTATTTGCAAGCGTTGTTTAGGCGTGAGTTTATTCATGATCAAACCAAACTGAGAATAAATCACTTGACAGCTGTTAAATCGGTCGCCATCTTGAACAGTGATGCCAACTTAAAAATATATACCTCGTAAAAAACACCCGTTATAAGTGACATAGAATTTCAGATCGCGCTGTCAATAGAGGCGAGGGAGAGATCAAGATAGCTGGATATCTCAACTTGCTGAACCGTTAGTCATATAAAATGTAACGTGCAACCAAAACTCTTTAAAAGTAGAGAGCCCTTAAAGCTAACACTTCTAAACGAATCAATTTGTAACTGTTTCATCTTTTAGAAATGTACCCTCCAACTTTCTACAGGTTAAATACTTACCCATAGTCGCATACAAATAAATATGTATGTGTATTGTTTGTTATTATGTGAACCATGCTAAGCATTCCGTGGTTACAAACGGCCAGGAGTCGGCAACGAACGGCTTTGT